GCTATCATAACGCATTGTTGTCAAAGTAAAGTCATGATGATGCGTTGATAGGTTGGTCACGTGCAAAGCATGCAGCTGACGTCATCAGGGGACCCTTACTTAGTCAGGACACTTAGCATTAGCCCTCCCATATTTGGTACGAGCCAATTCACATTTGTAGTTAGTTATATAGACAATATTTGTTGATTTTGTGTTTGTCTTTTGTYTAGAAATACCGGATTTCTTGTCTGATGCGGAATGCAGTCATYTTATCAAAATAGCACAAAGTCACGTGATGCAGCCCAGTGATATCTACCAATCGGATGCAGAGTTGAGTAATCACACGTCATTCAATGACTGGGATATCAATGGTGATAAAGTGCTTGACTATGATGAGGTAAGACTCGTTGATTTTGATAGTGATGAATAAGACAGAGAACAGTACCAGTTGGTCACCGCCTTACGCTGATATACATCTTAATTTACGAGATACATTTTATTAGTTACGTTGATGATACCCACAGGGTTTGTAGAAGTGATGTTTATTATCTAGATTTATCAGACGATGGTTTACCTGAGGGATATCCACTTAACTCAAACAGACATTCAAATCATGTACGTATTATTAACATTGAATAATCTGTCACCAATACAGACAGTATGGTGTACATGTTCTTATAATATGTTACCAATACATCCTGTACTCCGTCGGACGTAATGGCGGTGCGTGCTATTAATGGTTAATAATCTATTGCCAATACAGACAGAATGGTGTGCGCATCTAGTTACAACTAAAAGCGAATAATGCTATCATTTTTCAGGTTCAAGAAATTACGAATCGGTCATTTAGAAGGGGGTGAGTATGTACCACTGCTTGAAAGAGTGCTTCCATCGACTAACTTGAAATGCTTATTTCGATAGGCTTCATTCATCCTAGGGAGTTTAAAGGSCAMAAAATCATCGAATACATCGATAAGGTGATATTAAAGGATACGTCAATCAAAGGTCGCCATAGCAATAACACTTGGCTGGACACRTGGGATGATGACGTCATGACAATGTTGAATATAAAGTATGTAATCAGATGGCATAACATGCTGGATGCTAAAATKTTTTCAACGGCGAAAACTAAAGTATGGCAACGGCAGTTTTCKGTCGATTTTGCACGACGCAATTCGTGCGACGYACGAGCGCGTGCTGATCCCAATAGCTATTTGCAATAGCTATTAAGCTTTTAAACGTCTTTTTCCCAGAAAGGCTGCGTTGACAGGATTACCGCTTGAAGTCATCGAAGGCAGCGAATCGCCGACGGTAAGTTAAGAATTAGTATATCCACTGACTTATGGATACATCTATTTTGCGGTCAACTCTGTAAAACAGAAACCTGTGTATTGTGGTAACCTCTATAATACGAAAACCTTCTCTATTCCGACTGCCTCTATATAATACAGAGACCTTCTCTTTTCCAGATCATTAAGTATGGTCCTGGKGGTCACTACCATTGTCACTTTGACTCTCACAGTCAGGACAGTGTACAGCCATGTTGTGACCAATCATCAGTTAGTAACTGTCGTTCGTGTAGGTAAGTTTAACATGTACTCATGTAGCTTATTCACAGTTCGTTGTATTGTTCCAGTAGTATTGGAAAGTCCAGTTCGAACAGGTGCACAAAGAAACCAGAGTTTCAAAGTTTGTYAACTTCCTTTTTCATAGATACATTACTATCATGTATTACTTAAGCGATGTAARAGAAGGAGGACAGACAGCTTTCCCATTCGCCAACAGACTACAACCAATCAGGGTAATATTATAATGTACTCGTTTCTCTTTTATTTCTGACATCTGTGCACGTATTACAACAAAAGGCACGATGTCAGTCAATTTTTTGATTGTAAAACAGAATCGTGTCGTTTTATGCTGTGTAGGATGAATTATAMTCCAATTTGGTGACAATTTGATTTGTATTATTTTATCAGGGGTTGCTCCCTTCAACGTTAAACGTGTCCAATCTCAGTGCGCATTGCTCCAAGGCCAACCTCCTTTTGAMACCAAATAAAGGCAAGGCAGTCATGTGGTATAATCACGTGATTGATAAACATGGAATGGTCGGGGATCTTGATCRAGCTTCATTCCACGGTGGATGTGACGTCATCCAAGGGGAAAAGTGGATCATGAATAACTGGATAAACGTCTTTGTAGATGACTTTGAACACATCAGGACGTGGCATAAAACGATAAAGAAAACCTAGATATTTGATATTGTATTTATTATGCTGATATTCCACAGACTTCCATGGATGAAACCAGTCGGCATAATGGCATATCCAAGTCATAACGACAAAGAAAATGTCATGGATCATCATAAGGACTGACCATTTCGCATTAATAATAAGTCTAACAATGCGATTTCTTACAAGATTTATTAAACATTGCTATTCATTTTATATGGAGATTTTGTGTTTGCAGAACTTTGATTAGGAATGCTATCATTATTAAACAACTTAGTCTGAAACATTTTCACATGGTGTAATGTCATAATTATTATCATCACACATGGTATCATGACGTTTTACTACTCAGCTAATGTAGTACTGACGACAGAGAACTTGACGCCATTAGCATTTAGTCTGTCAATCAGYGTTGTTCCTGAGAAAGCTGCTGCCGGAGTTAGAACTCCTCCCCTGAAATGGAAATAAAGATAGTTTAGTCAAATGTGAAATATTTTAATTCTATACTTAAGAGCCTGCCATCAATCAACTTTAAAGGTAGAGTTTATTATGCTATGTTATCGTGTAGTGATGTGCAAATGACACTGGTGAACAAAATATCAGTTGTGTAAGGATATGCAAGGGTTTGGATGGCTCTGAATTTATACTGAGCTTTGCAAATGTAATGCATTATGAGTGTTGAGAAGTGCATGTTTTTGTGTTGAGAAGTGCGTGTAGTTAAAATTACATGCATCCTTTGCATGATTTTGTCATGTACAAATATCATCTTTGATTTTGAACCAATCAGAAAACAACATTCAATACCAGATCAATTTTTATACCTAAACCCCAATTGCAAAGAAGCAAACTCACTTGTTAGGGAGTTTTTCTTCAAGCAAAGTCAAGGCAGCTTGYACCATACATATGGGTGTGGCTGTGTACCCAGGCTCTAATGATAGCAAACAATGGTACAYGTAGAGAGTTATACAAATAAGGTGTACACAAAGTCTATCAATTGATTGACATTTATGACACTTACCAGGTCCTGTAACCTTGGATACTATCTGACTGTCAAGCTGAGTTGGAACAGAYCTTATCAAGAAAAAATCCATTAGAATCACTGATACAAGACTGGTTTWTACAYTRTTGTACTTACTCCACTGTGGACACACCTCTGCCATAACCAGAGCCATAGAAAGTCATGGAGAATGATGTGTTGTCCATCTACAATGGTTAACAACTAATTATATCAACTCATGAAATTGTCACATTAAAGRTKAAACAAGCCTTACCTGTTCCCTAGTTGGCCCCTCATGGGAGAACATACCAAGAGTAAAGAACTTTGGATGCTAAAAAGATGATGATAATAACATTGACACTGATCCTGTACAATTAGTAGAACATTTTGGCTGCATATTTGAATCCTCAGTTCACATTGTCACCACATACCCASGTACATATGGCATTATAGATAATCTATKTACCAACCTTTTCCAGCAAACTTCTTCCCCATTTGAAGCGACACAGCAAAGCAAAAATAGAACCAAAAATCATAAGCATGATRATAGAAAACAAAGAAGACTGCACKGCATAGGCACCATATTGGATAGRATCCTCCTTTACAACCTCAGCACGATGTCGYTGAGACCGTCGCACAACAGATGCATCAGAACCCATGAATGGAATACACCACTTGCTCATTTCATTACTATAGAATACTGCACCTCTAAGAAAAACCAAACTTTTTATATCAATAAAACCTTTTAGAAGCATTTAAAACATTGTGYACRTAATAAWCTCACCTCTTTTTGAGCTTAGGACCAAAGGTTGGCAKGCGACTTGGAAATAATTGAYGACGAATTCTTTTCAGGTTTCCCTCAAAATCACTGGCAATACCATAGATAATKGAATGGTATGTGCCRTAATGTCCAACAAATCCCTGAAATGTRGTTCATATCACTCACATCAGTCACTTCATTACAAGTACAATAATTATAGCTACCTTTGGTGCATCAAATGCCAGGAAGCTTTCCAAATGACACAGTTTACCTGAAATAYACATGCTTTGGTGAAGACAGACAGTATTGTAAGAMTATCATCATGATCAAAACAATTGAATTTAGTSAAACAAACTTGTTCACCTGGAAATTGCTCAATAGCAAATACTGTTCCCATGTCGGCAGGGATACTATCAAATCCACATGTACCAACAATATGCACATTGTTTTGAACTGCCTGGTCATGGTACTTCAACTGCATGCTTTCTAGGAACTAAACAATTCATAGTTAATAACGGGGATTAAACGCTATATTGAGTAGTTCTTTATAAATGTCAATGAATTGTCATACCTCTGGCTCGCCACTGATATCAATATGATGACACTTGTTTTGTACTGCAGCCTTGACAACAGCTTCACCATAGAAACGGTACTGCAGAAATGCATRAAACTTTAAATATAATGACCATTATTAATGATACAAACACTTGTACTTACAGGTCCAACACAGTTTAGTATCAACTTGGATCTGGAACACATTTCATTAAGTGAATCTTCATCATTACAATTTGCAACAAGAATGTGTGCTTCCTCAGTGAGATCACGCCCTGAATATAAATGAAACTTTCACACCAAATGTAATAAATAAATATCTTGTGCATAATTTGTGTTGTAACTACAGCTATCATCCGTGCTCAATGATGATCAGCTRTGTATTTTAACACGATCAATAATAGTAAGACAATCCCTTTTTTCGAGTATAATATCTGACTAACCTATCTCTTTAGCTGTTTCTGCCAATATTTGTGTCATTTTTTCCTTGTTTCGACCAGCGACAGCCCATTTCAATTGTCGTTTCGAGTTGTTTTTCGCTACTTCACGTACCACATATTGGCCCGTAAATCCACTCGCCCCAAACACAACGATAGCATACTCACGATCGGCCATTTTAACAATCTAACGATAATATGTAATCSCTGCGTGCTCAAAAGGGAGAGCTTAGTAAACTTTGGACCCTGAACTTGGAAGAGGGTACCTTCAAGGGCAATAACAGTTAGGCGTTCCTCTCACTTGTCAGCAGTCCCACACGTCCAAACTCTATTTTCATGCAGATTGTGTATTCAAATTTAGTATGTATTTTCCTGTTTTCGTTTAGGATGATTGGTTTTCTACCAGTTGTAGTTTATTAACTGGTTTCCGTTCATGTGTTTTACAAAGATATAGGAAATTTTCACGTTATAACCGAGATGTATTTAGCTAATGTACTTAAGTATTTTTTGATCGTTGTTGTCACCTTGCTTGCTAGTATGGCCGATTTCAGCTTTCCTTTCTGCTTTGCTGACGTATCGTTGTCCAAGAAAGCTAAAGAGACGTGTCCATCAACAGATCCTAACTGTAAATTAAGCAATGAGCGAGAAGGGGATTATCGACTCTACCAAATAGATGGAGTTGAGGTTTGTATGTTTACATTGTACACTAATCATAATATACTATATTCTGACTTACTAATTTATTATTCCGCAAGGCGGGACTATTTTGAATTAACCAGAATCTATAGATGATACCTTTAATATGCTAATATGACAATATTTAAGTATGATAAAATTAAGATGAATATTTAGGGCTAATARGTAGCAGGCGTTCCTTACGCGAAGACGCGACAATTTCTGGGAACGATTGCGCTCACTCAAGAACATTTGGACCGATTCTGGACTTTCCAGGTGTGATTTGATGACTGAAAATCACTCGCAATGTCGAGCATCTGATGTGCGTTAATTACACATGATATATAATGATACGACTTGATCAACAGACTGGATTTGTCCAACATGTTAAGTTACAAGGAATTAGCTACAAAATAATCACACGAAGTATGAAACCTTTATTATTTGGTAAGTATGACGTGAACAAAGCCCCGAACAAAGCAAACATTCACAGTGAGTCTTATCTTATTTTTTATTTATTTATTTATTTATTTTTCTTTGGGGGGGGGGATGGGTGGTCGTATACGCGCACAAATACCACAAAACTTTCAGTATTACCAAAACATCTAAAGATTCCTGCCTAAGCCATTGCACAATCTCAATTCGTCATCATGACAAGAGAAGGAAAATGCGCACAAAAAGCAAATTGCATCATTGACATTGTTTCTGAGTTTAATAATACCTAAWTTTTTTACTTAGAAATCCCAGACTTTCTGAGTGAAAACGAGTGTGATCGTATTGTACAGCTAGCTAATCAAGAAGGTTTAATGGATAGTGGGACCCTGGATACTGGATATGACGATTTTGGTTTTAGAAATGGTAATTCATTTAGATGTATAGTGCGTACATATTTTTGGAGTTATTATAAACAGACCTYTTTACCACGAAATGAATTATTTTCACTCTAGTCCATCTCACGCGCAAATAATCATTTGTTTGTATGGTAAAAAAATAAAATATTTCGTCTCGTGGATAAACAAGACATTTTTGTTATATATAGAATCCCTCCTCTATTTATACTTGTCAGGTAACAGGTGTGTAAGGTCGATTTGACGCGGTCATGTCATGTTAGTGGTGTGTCTTATTTTAGAAACCAATCATGATAGTGATGAAAGCGATTCTAGTGAAAACGAGTCACAGTGCAAAGAATTCATGGATTCCTTTGACAAGAGCAGCGATAGAAAACTTAATGCTGAAGAGGTAATAATACCAATTTAGATATGGCGCATATATRCCCAAAGGCTGTCTAATGCTATTTTAATCTGCCTTTCAACAGCTAAAGCCTTTCTTTGACATGTATTCAACTGTACGCTTTAAGGAAAATGACATTAGATCCTTGTAAGTATGAATGCATCCGAGTTAGTTTGTTTCTACGGTATAACTAAATGTTGACATGTTTTAGGTTGCTGAAGTTAGGTTTTGATAAAGACAAAGACGGTAAGTCATTCAAACTGATGTCAAAGGGTGTTTCTAAACAGGCTAAACTAGTATTTTTTGACGTAAAGGTGAATTGTCCTATCGGGAATGCTTGAAAGCAAATGTATCAGCTTTGGAAGATTATATTGACAATATTGAAAGTTCCGATCCGTTGTACAAAACTCGATACAGTCAGCAGGCCTGGTTATCAGTGAATAATGACAGTGATCCTGTTCTGGTTCTACTTCARCAAAGGTACTGTAGCATGATGGGTAGGTAGTCTTTGTGCCAGTCAGTGCTAAATGTCAAGAGTCATAAATGAGAATCAGCTAACCTGACTGGGTGATCTTTAYATTCAGTTTTCGATTGATCATGARTTGTTTTCGAACTAACGGCACCCTGTGTCATTCCCAGGATAACCGAGTTAACCAAATTACCGCGTGAAATGATTGAAAATAGTGAACATCTACAGGTAAGATATGCTTTCAGTTCTATGGGTGTGGTTCGTATTCTAATGCGTGATCTTCTGTATTCACAGGTAGTACGGTATTCTGTTTATGGTCATTTCCATGCACACTACGATTCAAGCTTTAAAAAAGATAAACCATGTTGTATTAAGAATGAAGAACAAGGAGATACCTGCAACTTGTGTCGGTAATGAAATGAAGCGATCGATCTGTTTTGCCAACGTTTTTGCCCATTACCGTGAAATGCCTGGAGTTTAACATTGTTGAAATGTTGAACCAG